GGCTCCCCGAGACCACCCCCAGCATGCTCAAGAGGGCCTTGCGCAAGTTCAGCCACTCCACGGCAGAGACGTGGGACGGCATCCACCCGCGTCACTTCAGGCTGCTGGCGTTCGATCAACATAAGGATTTTTGCAGGCTCCTCATGCGCGTGGAGCGCGTCGGTAGTATGCCCTCTCAGCTTCTTGCAGTGATATCAGCTCTTATCCCGGAAAAAAAAAACAAACCTTCAGGGGGCGGTCCTTCTTATCGGGGGATAGGGCTCATGCCAGCTGTTTATCGAGTTTGGGGCAGAATTCGTCAAGGTGGTGCAAGAAGCTGGGAGCAGAACAATAGGCGAGAGTTTGTGGCCCACCAAGCTGGGAGATGCATCTTGGAGTCGGTGCACCAACAATCTTTGCAGGCAGAGGGCGGTGCAGTTCAAGAAGAAGAGCTGCACTCCGCTTCCATCACGTGGGGCTTGACTAATTATTACGAACATGTTAATAGAGAGAAACTGCACCGACGTGCTCTAGATACTGGTTTTAATGGAGCTCTTGTGGCTATTATACTAAGCCAGTACCAAGGTCAACGTATGATTACTCTACCCCACAAAAGGGATCCCAGCAGGCTGCAGTTTCGCGACCTTCCTTGTGCAGATGTACTGCGTCGAGGCTTTAGACATTTGGACCAGTAATGTTGAAGTATCTCTCCACATGTTCATTGATGACCTCCTCCTCCTCTTCCCCCACAGGTGCAAGAAGACGATAGTCGCCGAGTTCAAGCGTGCAGCTGCCAGTCTTTTGTGCCATCCAGTACGAACTGGAGTGTTTCTTTGCCATCGACAAGTCTGCTGTGCTAGCCTCGGCGTTCGACATACAAAAGCGTCTAGCAAAATCACTGGGGAGATACTCAGGCTCGGTCCCTCATCATGCGGCCAATCTAGGTGTTGATTTTCGGGCTGGCCAAAAACGAGGAAGATGTACTGCAAGCTCTAAGCTTCGCGATCGTCATAAGCAACTGAAAGGCCGACTTTATCGTATAAGAGCAGTAAAAAGAGCGGGAGCAAATACCCTCAAGCTGTACAACACGGGCTTCGGGCAAGCCCAATTCTACGGGACGGAAGTGGTGGGCCTAGAAGATAAAGAACTAAAAGCAGCTCGCAAACTTTATCTTCAAATAGCAGGTCCAGGTACACCAGCGCGTTCTAGTACGTTGGCTCTGTGCTTACTTGGCGACCCTTGTTGGAGACCAGGTGTTGGCCCCATCATCATTTGGTCGCAGCTGGTGGGGCGCGCCATGATGGGCCAGAATTCTCCTGGCTACGGTTTGCCTCAACTTCGCGCGCGAGCTGCGGCAGTGCTCGAAGCCCCACCACGGACGTGGCGCGAGTGTCGAGGCCCGTTTGGAGCAGCAATATTAAGTGCACAGAGATTGGGTTGGCAGTTCTCCTCGCCCTTCACGTTGGAAGATCAGTACCAGAGGACCCACATATTAACGTATACCTCTCCCTGCATGCTCCAGACTTGGATGAAGCAGGCCTGGGGCGAGCAGTTGCATGTCCAGGCCGCGACGAAGTTAGGACTCCAAGGCTCGCTCGACACGTCCACGGCAAGGAAGGTTTTACATGATCCAGGGCTCAACCAGACCGAGAAAACCACCCTCCTGGCTTTCCTGGCCCAGTGTATGTGGACCCATTCGAGTTTGAAAAAAGCAGGGTGCCCAGCAGAAACACAATGCCAATGTGGACACCCAGCAGACGATCTTCACCATAGACTCGTGAGCTGCCCTTGTACAGCGCCCCTCAGAGATGAATATTGTAATGCTGAAGAGGCCCAGGTCCTCATGCACCCAGGTAAATTCCCGATCCAGGCGGGTTTTCTGGAAGGTTTGGACTGGCCCACGGGGGCTCCCGAGGGCCTTGGCTTGCAGCAGCAGGTCGTCTGGACTAGAGACAATGTCCCCATCTCTGAGGCCCTAGTAGGTAATGTATATATTTATAGATATTATATATATATATATATATATATACTGACGGGTCTTGTTTAAAGCAGGGCCCCAGGGATTTTCATGTAGCAGGATATGCAGCCATCGCGCTCGACTCCGAGGGCGATGTGACGGCTGCAGTTTACGGCCCTGTAGGCCGCAACCTCCCCCAATCCTCTCCCTCTGCTGAGCACCTTGCTGTGATTGCTGCGGTCTCCTCCTCCTCTCCCCATGCCATTAACAAGATAATCGCTGATTATCAAGGAGTAATTGATGTGTACAATGAGTTCCACAGTAGGAAGCAGAAATACTCTGGAGTTGCTTTGCTGGCCCAAGGTTCGGCCAACTGGCACCGTGGAATCACTCTGGACAAAATCAAGGCTCACCAGAGCCCTGGAAGTCTCACCCAGGGCACCGAAGAGTGGCTGAGAGCCACTGGCAACGACTTCGCCGACAAGTTTGCTAAGCTAGGAGCTCAGATGTTGCAACGTCCCTCGGCCAATGGGATTGCGGAAGCCACCATGGACAGATCCCTGCTGGCCAAGTGGTTGCGTTACGTAGCTTGTGCTTTAAGTTTGTGGGGGCCAGTTGGACCTAAAGTCAGCAAGAAAAAGTTTTCTTCTCGGGGCAAGACGGTTGCCCAGCCCATTGTGGCGGGTGCAGCCAGCGCTCGGGTTGTGTGGACTGGCGAGACCCCTCCTCCGCCAGCTCCTGTGGTCCCGCGGCCCCAAAGTCCTGGCCACTCTTGGGAGTGGAATCGCAAATCCAACAAGTGGCTGTGCTCGACATGCAAGGCCCGATGCTCTGACAAAATTTATCAGACTCGCAAAGATGAGTCATGTCGAAGCTATCATGTACAGATGTCTCAGATAGCTGAGAATCCCCAGGGCCACACATTTTATGTTGCCCGACAAGAAAGAAGTTTGAACTTCATCATGAGGTGCTCTGGCTGCGGCAAGTACAGCGAATCTAATGTCAAGAAGCTCAAAGAGGGCTGCCAAGGCTTCAGGAGGGACGGTGATCGGACCCAGTGGCGTCTGTTGTGCGCTGGGAAACACCCCAAGTCCTCTTTCAGGGACCATATATTTTCCAGAGCCCCCCTGTCAAGCTCAGAGATTTCATAGCCGCAGAAGCAGCCAGAGTTGCAGCCTCATTTCAACAGCGAGATGGCAGGCAATAGGGCGGATAGACTTTCCGTCCCCCAACCACGTGCTGATCCTTCTCGTCCTCCTCCTGTAGCTTTTCGGCTCAAAGTGTCATTGTTCCCCACGGTCCCGACTTACTTTCGGCTGTTCCAATGTGTCTGACCCGTCTCTCACTATTCTTGCCGACTTCTCTTCCAGAGCGCTGAATCTCCTCTCAGCATACCCACGGCGGCCGATGAGCACTGTGTGTGATGGCATGCTCGGTGCCCAGGCCTTTACGACCAGGAATCTGGCCAACAAGATTCAGAAGACGAGCCTTGCTCACGCAGTCGTGCGGCGCTTGAGCTGGATGTCTTCACTTGGAGTCCGAACTGAACCTGTGCCGGGCTTCGCAGTTTGACGACGTGGCAGTTCGCAACATCTTCATCGAGGTTCGGGATCGGTTCACCCCTGTTGACCAGTTGTCTTTCTCAGCGCCTATACCCCTCAGGTTCGACCAGGTGTCCGTGCCCCTCGGCCCACCCTGTCGCTCCAGCTCGACATCTCCGACGCGCCCTCTGAGGCGGTTGCACGCAGTATCGCGGACGCCTGCATGCATGTCTTGGAAGAGTGGGTCGGCGAGAGCATTCTCAGTACTTCCACGGGTCTTTCCAACGCCGGGCGGTGTGCAGCTTCGGCCCGTGGGCTGGACGTTGCCGGGCAGTGCGGCTCGCCGTCGGGCGTGCATGAAGTCCGCCATGACGATGTCGTGATGGGTGAGACGACCGATGACTGCCGAGCAGTAATTGGACGGCGTGCGTGGCTTTCTCCAGGATCTGCTGCCCGAATTCCGGCGCCTCGCGCGCAGACCACGATCCCGAGGCGGGCCCAGACGTAAAACTGCGATGTGGTGCTCTGTGTGGGCGCCGTCCTCTACTCGGGCGTGCTGGACAGTGACCTCGATATGCGTGACTGCGGGTATTCACAGTGCTTCTGGTAGGGTGGCTTGCCCGCATCCCCTTTGTCGCCCCGTCCCCTTTGTCGCTCTGGTCCTCGACACCCTTCTCCTGTCCGCCTCCTTTCGCCAGGCAGGTGGCCTCCCAGTCGCCTCCCAGGTTCTATCCGCCCTCTCCCGCTCGTCGCGTTCCTCTTCCTTCCCGCCTGCCGTGGCCATCCTTCTCCATGAAACTTAGCGTGGTCTTCGCCGAGGATGGGGTGGGACAAGGAGGAGGGAGGAGGGAGGAGGGGGAGGGGGAGGGGGAGGAGGAGGAGGAGGAGGAGGAGGAGGAGGAGGAGGAGGAGGAGGAGGAGGAGGGAGGAGGAGGAGGAGGGAGGAGGGGAGGAGGGGGAGGAGGGGGGAGGAGGGGAGGAGGAGGAGGAGGAGGAGGAGGAGGAGGAGGAGGAGGACTTGTCTTATTGGCCGTTCTGCTACTAATCCGTTTCACGCGTGATATTCTCGGGTTGTGCACATCGGGTGAAGCGTCCTTCTCTTCGCTCAGGAGGGGGAAGAGGAACAGGAGCAGCGGCGATCTTCGTCCTTCTGATTGCCCTCCTCCTCCTCTTCCTTCTCCTCCTGATTTTCCTTCTCCTGTTCCTCCTCCTGCTCCTCGTCCTTCTCATCCTCCTCCTCCTCCTCCTCCTCCTCCTCTTCTTCCTCCTCATCCTCCTCCTCCTTCTCGTCGCCGCCGCCACTGTCATCAGCATCACCTTCACCATTCCTAATATCCTCATGCTACGTCCTTCTCCCTCGTCGTCGTCCTCCTCCTCCTCGTCCTCCATTCTCGGACCTCCCTCGTCCTTCCGCCTCCCATTTCCCCACCCCCTCCCGCCCTACTTCCTCCCTCCTCTCCCCTCCGGGTACGAGGCACAAGGATAGGCCCGTGATCAGGAGAGTGGCCCCTGCGGTCCCAGAGGTACACCGGCCAGTACCAGGATGACCGCAAGCACGGTAAGGGCACCTTCTCCTGGACGGACGGGCGGCGCTACGAGGCTCCCGCGTTGTTTTCGCCTTCCTCTCCCTCCCCCTCCTCCTCCTCCTCCTATTCATCCTCCTCTTCATCCTCCTCCTCCTCCTCCTCCTCCTCCCCTCCTCCTCCCTCCTCCCTCCTCCCTCCTCCTCTTCTCTCCCCCTCCTCCTCCCCCCCCTCCCCCCTTCCCTTCTCGCTCCTCCCTCCTCTCCTCCTCCTTCCAGCGTCGCCGCCGCCGCGGTCGCCGCGCCGCCGCCGTCGCCGCCGTCCTGCTGGCCAGGGGCGGGTGGCGCACTGGCAGCCTCGGGAGGCAGTCCTGGCTATGGCCGCGGCGGGCCTCCTCAGGTGGGTGGCCGGTGCCGCGGACCGCGCAGTCAAGACCGCCTTGGGCCACCTTGTGTGCCCAGATCTCCTCCTCCTCCTCCTCCTGGTCCTCCTCCTCCTCTCCTCCTCCTCCTCCTCCTCCCTCCTCCTCCTCTCCTCCTCCTCCTCCTCCTCCTCCCTCCTCCTCCTCCTCCTCCTCCTCCCTCTCCCCTCCTCCTCCTCCTCCTCATCCTCCTCCTCCTCCTCCTCATCCTTGTGCTCCTCCTCCTCCTCCTCCTCCTCCTCCTCCTCCTCCTACTTCTCCTCCTATTGTCTCTTTTTACCTCCACCCGATGGCAAAGATGAATGATGCTAGCAGGGCGCTGTTGGCCCACATTGGAATCCCCCAGCATGAGACGGGGCTGCCAGTTTTGGCAGGGGACGATTTTAACATGAGCCCGTCTCACATTTTACAGATCGGCTACGGGGACCGAGGGTGTTTCGATTTGGTCCCCCAGGACAGCCAACGCTGTTCACGAAGAAAGCAAAGTCAAGCATTAACTACTTTCTCGTGTCGGTCGCGTTGCAGCCGCTTGTCAAGGAAGTGCAATCTCTGTTCACGTTGAATTCTTCGCCGCACAGACCGGTCAGTCTCACCATCTTGTTGGATCGGGCAGTTTTGAGTCGAGTCCTTAGGACCCCCTCGCGCTTCCCTGCAGAAGCCATGGTTGGCCCACAGTTGCACCGCGCCGATTCAGAGCATCCTCGCACGGCGGTGGCCGAGCTACGGTCACAAATCCACGAAGGACAGCGCCACACGACGCAGCAAAGGATGCCCGATACCTTTTATGCGATCGTCTCCAAAGCCATGGCTGTGGAGATTTCGCGCATCACTCGCACGCCTCTCAAGAGTGCGCGCCCGAGAGGGCTCGGGCCCAAGATCGAATGGCGCTCCGCAGATGAATTCAAGGCCGACGGTAGATGACGCGAGACCTGGGTATCCAAAACGGGCACGCTGAGGCACCTAGCCAACACCGAAGAGGATGTACAGTACTGCCTGGCCACAGGTGCGCCGCGTGAGGAAGCGCTAAGACGTGCTCCAGAGGCGCCCCCGGGCGGGACGCAACCGTCGGACTCAACGCGCCGAGCGCTACAGGAGGTAAAAACCGTTTGTCGCCACATTGCCCGAGACGGCAACACGGCTGCCATTCCCGCAGAGCAGGCGCTTGGGTTCCTCGCAGGCTTTGCGGGTGAGACTGCCGCCCAATTTGACAGAGAGCTTGAACTGGAGCCCCAGGATAGCACGCGAGACTGGGTCACGAAAGCCAGCAACACATCTGTAGGGTGGGCGCACAGGTGGTCAACGCACCAACCTGTGTGGGCCCCCACGCAGGTCAAGTGGCATGAGGAGTGGTCTGGACGACCGTCCTCCGTCCCACAGACAGCGGCGACCAGACTCGCCACACCATTGTGGGAAACGTCGCCCTTGCCGCGTTCACCTCTCCGCCTGCCGACAGCGTTGTCTTCGTTCCGTAGGGACACCGCCCAAACATTTGATGGTTTTCACCCGCGGCACTCCTCGTTCTTATCTCTCGACCAGCTCGAAGTGGCCGCGGCTCTGCTGCACGCCGTTGAGAAGCACGGCATGTTCCCCGCGGCAATTCTGGCTATCATCGTTACGTCAATCTAGAACGCAGCAGCGAAGGAGCCTGGGGTCCCAGCTTTTCGCAGCATCGGCTTCCTGCCAGCGCTCTACCGCGTCTGGGCAAAATGCCCGCAACCGCTTGCCAGAGAATGGAAGGCAGCTCACCCCGGGCCATTTCTTTGCCACCAAAAGGGGCGGAACATCGCTGAAGTTGTATTTCAAGAAACGCCTGTGCCCGAGTCGGCCACGGCAGCAAACCGAGCAATGCACTCGGCAGCACTGCTCTGGGACATGCCAGACTATTACGAACACGTGCACCACGCCACCCTGTGGCAGCACGCGGAGACAACGCGCTTCCCGCTGATATTGCTGCCTGTGGTGCTAAATCAGCGCCAGGCCCCACGATTGGTCAGCCATGAGGGCTCCACCGTCCCGACAGGCCAGCCGGGCCAGGGGCTGGCAGCAGGGGCCCCTTTGACACGTACCTTGTGCAGGTCTACGCTATAGAGCCACTGGGCACGTGGCAGGCAGAGCACACGTTTCTCCGGCTGCCCCTTTTTCATTCCCTCTTTTCATCAGAGTGCCCTACAACGAAGCTTGTTGCATTCGTTGTGGGGTGGGGGGTCGTCCTTGGGATGTGGGAGGGTGGAGGAGAAGGTCGGCTGATGAGGTGGAGAGAAATTAATCTGAATGGATACAAGCGCAAAAGGAATTCTATTGTATGTCCTTCCAAATTCAAATTGAATCTCATTGCCTTCCGCCACACAGGGATTCCTTCTGTATACCGTTACCAAAGGAATCATTTTGTATGCCGCTTCCAAAGGGATCCTTTTGCAGCCCACTACAAAAAGGAATCCTTTTGTATCTCGCCATACCAATAACAAAAACCTGCGCAGGCACAGCTCGAAAGCTATTTTTGATTAAAACATTAAGAGAAGCCTGCGCAGGCACAGCTCGCACAGCAATTTTTTAATACAAATGCTGAAAAAACCTGGCCAGGCACAGCTCGCACAGCGTTTTTAAGGATTTTCTATTCATGGTAAGTTGATTCTAAAACGCTGTGCGAGCTGTGCCTGGCCAGGTTTTTCAGCATTTGTATTTAAACAATTGCTGTGCGAGCTGTGCCTGCGCAGGCTGTTCTTAATGTTTTAATCAAAAATAACTGTGGAGCTGTGTCTGCGCAGGTTTTTATTGATATGCGCAATGGAAGCATTGAGAAAAGCCTGCGCAGGCGCAGCTCCGACAGCTATTTGTTGATGAGAATGCTACAGAACCATGGCCAGGCACAGATCGCACAGCTTTTGAAAAAGATTTCTTATTTATGGGTGTAATTCCAACTTCCCATAGATGGAACATCCTTTAAAACGCTGTGCGGGCTGTGCCTGTCCATGCTTTTCAGCATATGTATTGAAAAAATGCTGTGCGAGCTGTGCCTGCGCAGGCTTTTCTTAATGTTTTTATCAAAGATAGCTGTCGAGCTGTGCCTGCGCAGGTTTTTATTGATGTACGCAATGGAAGCATTGAGAAAAGCCTGCGCCGGCACAGCTCCGACAGCTATTTTGGTGAGCTACACAAGGATTCTATGTGTGGCGGGATACAAAATGATTCCTTTTTTAGTGGGCCACAAAATGATTCCTTTGAAAATGGCAAGCAAAGGGGTTCCTTTTGTATGGCATGCGAAAAGGTTTCTTTTGTGGCGGGATACAGAAGGAATCTGTCTGCAGCGGGATACAGAAGGATTCTTTTTGAGGCGGGATACAAAATGAGACAGAGAGGGCCACAAGAACCCTGGGGCTCTTTTGCCCCCCTCCCTATTCATTTATTGGTGGAGAAGAAGGAGAAGACGGAGGAGGAATAGGAAGAGGAGGGAGAGGGAGGAGATGGAGGACGACGGTTATCAAGAGGAAGAGGAGGATGAGAAGGAGCAGGGAGGATGCTGGATGAGGAGGAGGAGGAGGACGGAGGAAGAGGAGGAAGATGATGAGGAGGAGGCGGAAGGGAAATGTAGGAGGAGGTCGACGATGAACAGGAGGAGGAGAAGGAGGAAGAGGAGGACGAGGAGGAGGAGGATTCGGAGGAGCAGGGCTGATGAGGGAGTAGGAGGGTGGAGGACGGAGGAGGAGGAGGAGAGGACAAGGAGGCTGAGGAGGGGGGAGAGGAAGAGGAGGATGAGGAGGAGGGGGAGGAGGGAGGAGGAACAGGAGGAGGAGGAGGAGCAGGAGGAGCAGCTTCTTGCGCGGTTAAAGCATTTTCGGACGACGTTTCACATATTTGTTCTGCTCGCCCCTTCGCCTTTTGCATGGTGACCCGGGTCGTTTCCCTGGCCGCGAAGAGTGGTCAAGGGGGAACGACGGGGGTGGGCGTCAAAGGTTGAACCGACTTCCCTCACTCCTTCCACGGTGTCCCAAGTCGTTCCCCTGGCCGCGAATAGTGGTCAAGGGGGGGCGACACGGGCGGGCGTCAAAGGTTGAACAGAGCCCCCTCGCTCATTTCACGGTGACCCGAGTCGCTCCCCTGGCCGCGGATCGCAGTCAAAGGGGAGCGACAGGGGCGGGCGCCGGAGGTTGAACCGAATTCCTCGCTTCCCGTTCATTTCCTCACTCGTTCCTCCTCGCCTCTTCATTCCTCTTCTCCTCGTCTTCGCTACTCGCCGCAAAGAGGCTCGAATCTACAAGGGAGCACGCAGAGCTACGCCGACTGCTTGTCGGTGGAGAGGTTACCTTATGGCTAACGTGGTGTGTGGTGGCCTGAAAACACTCGGCATTGTGTTAGATGTACCAGGAAAACAACTCAAGTATTAGCGGACACGCATCAATTTGTTGATCCGCACAAGTTGCATTGGGGTCACGGAACATCACACTATGAAGTTTGATGCGCCTGTGTTAGCTGAGCTTTCTGATTTACCTATCTACCCATTCCCACATGGCAACGTTAATCAAAGAAGCAAGTGGGCACTGGATTGCATCCTTGATTGGAGCGGAAAGTTCGAAGGCGAGGCAAAAGACACAATCAAACGGTTATCAAACGAGTTCCAAGGGAATACGGAATGGAGTGACCAGTGGGACGGCAGTTACAATGATCACGTGAAAGGGTTGATCGCAAAGGAAATGGAGGTGGGCAAATCCAGTAAGTTACCATACCCATTCGGTCCCACAAGCGAATGGCCAGTTGCGTACACAATGCAAGTGGCGATTGTGCCCACTGCAGAGAAGTGGCACGTTGTCAACACGTCATGTTCGACGAACTGCAAAATCTGACCAAAGCTGCAGATTCGTTGGCGCGTGGCTCGGCATACTGCAACAGCTGGTGGCCACACAACCCTACGAACACAAAGACAATATTCCAGAAACTATTCGAGAATCTTGGGGGCTTCCAAGTTCGGCACAGCAAATGGTTGGGTAACGATGAAGAGAAGTCGGTTGATTCTAACAAAATAGCAGCGGGATGCGAGCTTATGCGAAGGATGAGGCCGTCATCAGACAACGAAGGACAATTTGCATAATGGGTGGATGTGTGGACACAGAAGCCTGATAGTCCAATCCTGGGCTGGCCAGAGGGGAAATGCAGGTCGTTTTTGGAATGCTGTGCGAGGGGCGCATCAACTGCGAAGACGATAGATTTCAACTTCACAACGTACAAAGATTTGAAGCCTTGCTCTTTGGATTTGGTACTGAAAGACAAAATTGTGTCAGCCTTAGACAAGGCGATCGTCTCAAGCTTGCGTGTCGGTTCGTGTCCTTTGCCGTGGTTGGAGCGTGAAGATGTCCGAGTCGCTCGAGGAAAGGACGGACGACCCCCCACCCTACAACGAATATTTTCAGATTCGTTGTCTTCCTCCTGGCGACGTTTCATTTTGGCATCTCACGTGAAGACCCTGAGGTCGTCACCAAGGAACTCCGCGAGGGGGCAAGTTCCCTCAAGAAGGTGATTGAAGTCGATTTGGGATGTTCGGCGGCGCACGGGAAATCAACATCCTTGGCGCATTCGGAAGGGCAAAGGCGCAAGCTGGCCAAAGAGCTATGGGCAAACGCAGGGCAGGTGGCGGCAGCAGGCAATAATTTTGGCGTCGACTTGGCAGTGGGCAACTTGCGCGGCAGGCGCTGCAGCCGCCAAGTGCTCAAGCAGCGTTGCGTCAAGCTCCAGGCCCGCAAGCGCAGATTAACAAACGGTCTATCGGGCAGGGAATGACCTGCGTAAGCTATTTGCCAGCGGCCCCGCCTCCTACGGCACGCATGGGGCGGAGGTCACAGGGGCGCCGAAAAGCTCTATAAGCTGCAGAGTTTCTTATTGTCCATCGTAGGCTCGATAGGTGACTCACGCTCACGCTCCACTTCGCTCGCGTTTCATGGCGACCCCACTTGAAGGCAAGGTCTGGCGCCGGCGCTCCAGTGGTCCGAACTTGCGCTGCGGGCCGGCGCTGACAGGTCAGAGTGCGAATCTTTCTAAATGCAGAGATTGCTTGAGCTTGCGGCCCATGCGTTGGCAAACCCGCCCAAGAGTTGGGGAAACTGCGGCGATAGGATCACTCAGACGAATTCGTTGGGAATTTCACACTGCATTCATTTTGCAAGATGCCGATGGACTTTTCTGGCCTCTCAATGCTTTTTCGCCCAAATTCCTGGAGATCGAGATGGTCGCTGCATGGCAAGGAGAACACTAGGCGACGATCTCAAAGAAGGTCGGGTTGGAGCCCGAGGCACGCCTTGATTTTGTTCTGTGGCCCGGCAAATGGTCCGCGGCACAGCTGACAAGAAAGAGGCGGGCATGCTGTTGTCCTTCGTTTGCCAACCTTTCTGGACAGGACAGGAGCTCCGAGTGGCAGGGTATCTGGCCTCTGCTAGGTGCCAGTGCTGCTTTGAATGAGATGGCATCTCGCACAGCTTGCGCCGCTGCCCGGTAACAGCCTCCCTCCAGGCCGAATGCTGCAGCCACTCGACACAGTCATCTTCAGCGATCGGCATAGGAAGTGTCCACTGGCTGGTGGCTTCCTCGTGCAACCCACCGAACGGGGCAGGCACCGCGCCTCTCCAGTGTCGCTGCGTGGGCCCATCGCCGAGCGTCCGCGAGGCTTTCGGAGGCGAAGTTCCTCCTCCTCCTCCTCCTCGGACGGTTCGCGTTTGAAAGATGGGCCCGTAGAGCACCGCGTCGCCGGATGGGCGGTGGTTAAACCCGCTGCCGGGGACGACCTCTTCGTAGGAGTGCGGGGTTCTTGGTGAGCGGCCAGCATCCACAGACGTCTCCATCAGCTGAGCACGTAGCGGTTTTAGCCTGCACGGAACACTGCCCAGAAGCAGCAGCAGTGCGGCCAGATTTTTGAGAAGTGGCGAAACCGTTTCGGCATTTCGGTCACAACTTGTGTCCAGACGCCACGTGCTCGCAGAGCTGCTGATCAAGATCCGATCTTTCCCAGCTTGGGATGTGCTTGTCAACATTCACAAGGTCGCGGCGCACGTGGATGTAGATACGTTGGGGCCGCAGTCGAGGGAATTGCATCTGGCCAAAGGCAACGACTTCGCAGACCGCTAAGCGAAGCTTGGGGCATCCCTTCTCGTGCAACCCTCGCTAGAAGAGCGTTGGACTCAAAACGGAAATGCCGCGACCCTGAAGCGGTACCTTTATTGCGTGTGACCAACAGTCTTCTATTTTAACTTCGGCAGGCTCCAACGAATTAGCAAAGGTCTTTCTTCAACACGGAGTCGCGGAGGGCATGCTTTTAGACGGGCGCCTCGGCGGCCAAACAGGCGCTGCCGGAGCCCCCGGCGAACGCCTAGGCTGGGACAAATCGCCGACAACCGAAGAACATGACCGAAAACCTCGGACCTGGACCTCCTCCTCCTCCTCCTCCTCCTCCTCCTCCTCCTCCCCGAAACCTCTGAACTTCCCCCCTCGGCGCGCCGCCGAACCAGGTGGTGGACAGGCGCGAATCCCAACCTCGCAAGAGGGGTGGTTTGTTGAAGCTCGCTGAGGGGCAGCGAACGATCTGTGTTCCTGGGGCGACGGAGGAGGGGGCAATGCTCGTAGGGGACGTACAAACCTAAGAAGCCCCATTGTCGGTGAGAGTAAGCCTGAGATCCGAGCTTCTTGCGAATGGGGGTCCCGAGGCTTGCTATTTACGGATCAGGCGTGCCAGCCGAGCGTACCAGGACCTGGCCCTGGACACAACGCTGCCCACCCAGCGATCTCCAAGCGGCAAGGGCATCGGACGAGGCCAGGACGAGGACAAATCCGTTCCAAAGCCTTCCGGAACGCTCTCAAACGTTCCAGAACGCTCTCCGAGAAGGCAGCGGCGCCCGAGGCGTCCTCCAGAGCAGCGGGATCTCAGAGATTCTCGGCTTATCCTCCCCTGAATTTATCCTCGTCCTGGTTTCGTCCTAGAGGAGGGCATGAGAAGCTCAGCTGCCCTGATTTGCCCATGTTGAAACGCAACACGTGGCGTGTTCAAAACGTCCGTGTCCACACGCTGCTTGTTGGCTCGGCACGTGTTGGGCCGCGTTTTGGCGAAGGCATCCTGCCAAACGTACGTTTCCAATCTCCGTGTTGAGCTCCTTGTCAACACGCTACGGGTTACGGTTTTACGTGTTGCGTATTGGGGCAGCTAAGATGAGGAGCTACGCCATGCTACGACATCCGATTGTGCGAATAGAGAGGAGATCTACGCCATGGTAAGGGATGGGAGGGAGGGATGGGACGTCAGATATGACGCGAGCGCACCTAGCTTGTCCTTTCCCATCCCTCCCTACCTCGGCGCGCACCCTGGGGCGCAGGGCGAATGGGTCGGCGGCAAGAGGCACGGCGTGGGGGTGTACACCAACGCGAAGGACACCGACGCCGCCGCCACCGCCGCCGCCGACGACGCCGACGCCGACGCCGGCGCCGACGCTGACGCCGACGCCGACGACGACGACGACGACGACGACGACGACGACGACGACAAAGCGGCAGGCCCAGCAGTACACGCCCGTCGTTGGAAAGGAGGCATTTTTCAAAGGGCGCCCTCGAGGGCGCGAAGTGATTCGCGCTTCGCGGTTCGGCTCCGATTCCTCGTTGTCTTCCTCCTCTCCCTGGGGGGGGGCGGCGCGAAAGCGCGAAGTGATGCGCGCTTCGCGCTTCGCGCAGCGCGAGGCCTGGGACGCCTCTTCCTACTTCACGGGAGGTGGCGGTGTTCCCTCTTTCCTCCTCTTCAGGGGGCGGGCGGAGACCCACTCTGTTTCCGGCGCCTCCCTGCCTGATGCTTCTGCCCACTTTTTCCGACCGACGGGTGCGCTCCTCCCCTTCCCCCCCAGGCCGCAGGCTGGTGGCAGTCCCAGACATGGCCGCGCCGTTGGGCCAACATCGGGACGCAGGCGTTTCACCGCTCGCAGGCCTCTGGAGGCCCTCGCCGGGCCCCCGGGCCGTCACCGAGCGACTCGGGACGAAACGCCGTTACCGGGGAGAGGGTCGGGGCTTCTGGGGACGCCGTGCTGGCAAGCGCCAGGACGTCGCAGGTCTGGCCTCCTCCTCCCTAAAGACTCGGGATGGTTCGAGCAGTGGCGAGGCGTCCTGGCTGGCCGATGGGGCCACCAAAGCATGTTCTGAGAGCCCTTCTGTGGTCTGCACGACGTGTTCTCAGAGCACTTCTGGCTGCGACTGCTTTGTCTTAGCACATCGGGCTTGCGCTCTCGATGCCATGGAGCAACGGGCGCCTGGGGACGCCACAGCCCTCCGGGGGGAGAGGAGGCCTCAGCGGCACCCTGGCGGCCGCCGAAGTGGAGGACGGTGGGCCGCCCGGGTGCGCCGCACGAGGCTCCTCCTCTACTCGACGAGCGCGCTCCGCTGCTCGCGAAGTGCCTCCTCCTCCTCCTCCTCCTCCTCCTCCTCCTCCTCCTCCTCCTCCTCTTTTCTCCTCCTCCTCCTCCTCCTCCTCCTCCTCCTCCTCCTCCTCCTCCTCCTCCTCTTTCCTCCTCCTCCTCCTCCTCCGCCTCCTCTTTCCTCCGCCTCCTCCTCTTTCCTCCGCCTCCTCCTCTTTCCTCCTCCTCCTCCTCTTTCCTCCTCCTCCTCTTCTTCCTCCTCCTCCTCCTCCTCCTCTCCTCCTCGTCCCTCCTCCTCCTCCTCCTCCTCCTCCTCCTCCTCCTCCTCCTCCACCTGTCCCAGAATCGGACACGATGCTCCTCCTCCACTCGCCGAGCGCGCTCCTCTGCTCGCAAGCGTCCGAACAGATACATGTCTTCCTGTATGCAATGGAGCGTGACCCCCCCCAAAAAAGTGGCCTTGCCTTCGAGGATCGAAGGAGTTGTCATCTCGTTCTCGGCGGAAGGTCGGCGGAAGTAAAACGAGGTCGCCCTCGCCAGCGGAAGGGTGGCGGATGGGCGGCAGAAGGTGGCGGAAGCAAAACATGCGACCCCAGGAGGTGACAATATGTTTTAGTCCTGGGTTTCCGGAAGCTGTCCGATGTTGTCTCGGTTGTGCCTTCGTCTTGTGGGGGTTTTCGAGTCACATGTTTGCCAACACCAAGGCTACAGCGGCGTATACGGCCGCGGCACCCAGTACATCCTCCAAACCCGTTGATCATCAGAGATTTCCGATTTATATCACTCCGATGTTGTATCGATTCTGCCTTCGTCTCACAGTCAACGCGCCTAGTAAGGACGCGCGCCTTCATCTGGGGTATCCTTGTGTTCTTTCCTCTGCGGCCCGTCCTTTGCCATTTTCACTGGTCGCCCGCCGCCCAAAAAGTTCCAACCTCGGCCTCAAAGGGTCTTGCATCCTCACAGTCGGCCTGGATTAGCAGGTCGGCCCTGCCAAATCAAAGGTACGATTGTGTCCAATGCATCGCGCGTCGTGTTCTCAGCAATCCCGGGGCACGGCACCCTTGTCGGATGCCCTGTTGCCGTCGAAAGAGTCTTGTGTTCTACCGCGTGTCCTGAGCAATGAATTCCGCCTGCACCACCCGTCGAGGCTGCAGCAGCGCATGCTCAGCAGGTTCGCGTCGTGCCCACGCGGCGAGACGGCCCCCGCGCGGGCGTTCCAGACTGAGCGCCGCCAGTGTCCCTCCTCCTCCTCCTCCTCCTCCTCATCCTCATCCTCATCCTCATCCTCCTCCTCTTCTTTTCCCCCTCCTCCTCCTCCTCCTCCTCCTCCTCCTCCTCCTCCTCCTCCTCCTCCTCCTCCTTTCCTCCTCCTCTCCTCCTCCTTCTCCTTCTCCTCTTTCCTCTCCTCCGCTTTCCTCTCCTCCTCTTTCCTCCTCCTCCTCCTCCTCCTCCTCCTCCTCCTCCACCTGACCCAGAATCGGCCAACGTGGAACGATTTGGCGATCGACGGGCCGCCGATCGTGCCATCGCCATGGAAGAGGCTGGTCCCGAGGGAAACGGGTCCTGAGGTTATTTTCGCCGCTGTTGGGTGCCCAGGGCCTTCCGCGGGCCCCGGGACCGTCAGAGGACGACTCAGAATGAAGAGCCCCAGGGTCAGGGACCCGTTTCCCACATGACCCGTTTCCCCCATGCTAGTTCAAGGCTGAATGAGCCACTCGGTGTCAGAAACCAGCCGCGGAGTCGTCACGACACGAACCTGACGTGGCGCCCAGCGGTCACCCTTTGCTGCTCAGGTGAGACCCTGACCATGATGCTGATCCGCAGCCTGCGCCTCCTCCTTGGCGAACGAACAGCATGCATCCATGCTCACAGAGGGATCGGAGGGGGGGAGGATTTGCTATGCTCATCGGTGCGGGTTCTCGGACCTTGGGGGGCTGCTCCCGTTCGAGCGGGGGCCCCTCTATCCGACAACGTGCACCCATGGTCCCCTCCGTCCCCCCCTACGTGTATGTGTGCGCTCTTCGTCCGTCATTCTCCTCCGCGCCCTCCCCAAACCTCCGGCGCCTCGCGGAAGATCGCCCCGTGGGTGGCCCGAGAGCGCCCGCCGTTGCATCTCGCGCCCCCCCCCCAGCTCGCCCTGGAGCCGCGGAAGACCTCGCACGCGGCCCCACATCGAGGCGCGGAGGGGCCCCGAGGTGCCCCGAACCGGGCCCCAAGACTCCAAGGCAGCCCCTCAGGACCCCCAGCACGCATCCAGGCCAGTCCCTGCTCCTCCTCCTCCTCCTCCTCCTCCTCCTCCTCCTCCTCCTCCTCTGGGGTGCCCTTCCTCTCGTCTGTAATGTCCAGGGAGGCTCTCGCCACCGAACCGTCCTGGGGGTCAGACTCGGGAGGGCCCCGAGGCCTCTCCGGGTGCACGGGGGCGCCCCAGCACTTCCCAGAGACCGCCCCAGAGGCAAGCAAGAGGTCCCCAAGAGGACCGAGAGGCTCGCAAGATGGTCTGACGACGCTCCACGAGGCATTCACCACGGCCCCAAGAGCCCAGGACAGCCCCAGAGGGCCCAAGACAGCCCCAACATGTTTCTGTGTAGCCTGTTCAAGCGTCTCCTGAGCTCTCTGGGAACAGCCCTGCAACACGCCCCGTGCTTGCCTTCAAGACTCGCAGAAGTGTTGGCGTGAGGGCTTCTACGCATTCGATTGCCCATGCTTTTCTGACATGGCATCCGCTGCAAATGCGATAGATTAGAACCCAGGCGCGCGCGAGGTGCGCGTGGCTCCAGCTTAGGCGCGCTCGGTCTCGCGGCCCTGTGGGCGGTCATCTATCTAATGGCCGTCGGCCCATCCCGCCACCGTGCCTGGGTCGTGGGTGCGAAGCCTATTGGATGTTCGCTGGGATCTCGTCGGAGGCCTCTCGGGGGCCTCTCAGAGGCAGTTTTGATGCATCTTGGGAGGCCGCTTTGGGGGCCTCTTGGGGGCTTCGTTTGGGGCAAATTGGGGGCCTCGCGGGACCTCTTGGGGGCCTGTTGGGGGCCTGTTGGGGCGTCCTGGGCGCCGCTGGGGGCCTCCTTGGGGCCTCTTGGGGGCATCTTCCGGTGGAAGGCTCGGATCTTCGGCTCGTGTTGCTCATACTTTGGACGCTCGTTCCTTGTTTTGAGACCCTGGGCCTCCCCCCTCCATTCCCTCCTGCCTCCGTTGCGTCCCTCCTTCCTCCGGTCTCTCTACATCCCCTCCATTCCCTCCTCCCTCTACATTGCCTTCACTCCCGCCACCCCCTTCACCCCCTCCACTCCCGGTTCTTCGGCCTCTTTTCGGGGCGTCTTGGGGCCCTCTTGGGCCTTGGGCCGTCTTCGGCGCCTCCTGGGCCGTCTTGGGGCCCTCTGGGGCCGTCTTGGGGCCCTCCTGGGAGGCCTCCTGGAGGCTTCTTGGGGCGCCTTGGAGGCCTCTTTGCGCTTTCTGGGGGCCCTCTTGAGCGTCTTGCAGCGATTGTTTGTTCGGCGACTCGGGGCCCTCTTGGACCGTCGTCTACGGGGCCTCTGGGGGCCCTCTTGGCCCGCCTCGGGGCTTCCATTGGGGCCCGAACAGTTCACGCGGGAGGCGCGGGGGAGCCCAGACCCAGACATCCAGCGTCTCGTTTTTTTTTTCGAGACGCGCGCCTCCCCCTCCTCCTCCTCCTCCTCCTCCTCCTCCTCCTCCTCCTCCTCCTCCTCCTCCCCCTCCTCCTCCTCCTCCTCCTCCTCCTCCTCCTCCTCCTCCTCCTCCTCCTCCTCCTCCTCCTCCTCCTCCTCCTCCTCCTCCTCTCCTCCTCCTCCTCCTCCTCCTCCTCCTCCTCCTCCTCCTCCTCCTCTCCTCCTCCTCCTCCTCCTCCTCCTCCTCCTCCTCCTCCCCCTGGATTTTTTCGAGACGCCAGATGTCCGGGGATGGCACGCGACGCGCCCCGGCAGCTTTCGGAGCTGTGGGCCCCGGCCGGCCCCTCGAGGACCCCGCAAGGGCCAGGAGGGACCGACGCCCCAGGGATGCGGTTGGGCAAAGGGACCGGAGCACAGGCCCACTTCGTGCCCAGAGGCACGGTGGCGGATTTCTGCGTTGACCCGTCCGTCGTCGTCGTCGTCGTCGTCGTCGTCGTCGTCGTCGTCGTCGTCGTCGTCGTCGTCGTCGTCGTCGTCGTCTGCCGCGTTCCTCCTCGTGCTCACCCTCGTTCTCGTCGTCCTCGTTCCCGTGCTCCTCGTCCTCCTCGTTGTCCTCGTGCTCCTCCTCGCCATCCTCACGTTCTCCACGTCGTCATCGTCGTCTCCTCCTCGTCGCCCTCGCCTTCCTTGTCTTCTTCTCTGCTCAATGCGCCCACTGGAACAAAGCTGCGCTTCCCGTGAGTGTCCGATCAGTCTTCTGCGCCGACCCGTTTTTGGGAATAGCCTGGTGTGCCTGCGCGCGGCGGCCCTGCGCCAGCAGGGCGAACAACTCGATTCGCAGTCGTGGGGCAGCCCGGTCCAGGGATCCTCTGGGATGACTTTATGTATATATATATATATATATATATAGATATACATATATACATATATGTACATTAGTGTACCTATATGTAAATATACAGATATATCAGCTGGAGGCCTCCCTTGGGCGTGGTGGCCATGCTTCTCGGGGAGGGGGGCGGCCCACCCACCGCTCGGGGGCAGAGGGTGTGTCTGAGTGCGGCCGCGTGCCGAGGACGAGCGAGCGTGCGTCGCGGTCGCGGGGCGGTCCGTCGCCCGGAGATGAGAGCCCAAGCGCGCGTCGCAGTACAGCGGCGCGGCTCGAGGGGCGGAGATGACTGGGCGCGACGCGCCGAGTCCTCGGGCTCGGGGAGGCGAGTCTTGAACACGCGTCTGTGGTGTTTTTCCCAACCGTCCTGTGGTGTTGGGTCCTCGTTTTGAAGAGACGGTGGCCCGCGTCTCCTCTCATACTCTCCTCCTCCTCCCCTCCTCCCCCTCCTCCCCCTCCTCCCCTCTCCTCCCTGCGTTTCACCCACCCAGTACAGCGCTTCGTGGCCCCATAGGGAGCTCCACCGAAGGCTCCAGTGGCTGCGTTCGCATGGTGGCCTTGGGCCATTTCGGCACACCCCTCACGAGGATCGTGGCCCCATAGGGAGCTCCACCGAAGGCTCCAGTGGCTGCGTTCGCATGGTGGCCTCGGGCCATTTCGGCACACCCCTCACGAGGATCGTGGCCCCATAGGAGCTCC